CAGGAGGAGGGGCGGGTAACTGCAGGCCAGATAAAGGCACACGGTGGCCAGTCACGCCTCCCACGCAGTGCGCCCGAGGGCTGGGCCTGACACCCCTGAAGCCGCCGTCATCACTGAACGTGGACCCGTGCAGACGGAGTGATGAGAGTCTGTCTGTGGACGCGTGCGCCACGCGCACACGCTGTTCTGAGGGGCACTTTTCCCACTTCATCCACTCTGGCCCTGCCAGCTCCCTCCACGATCCTTCTTGAGACCAATTCTCCAAATATTTAGAGGAATAAAAGGGTCTTTTATGTGTGTAGTAGTGGATTTGGCTGGCTCTTAAAGCATTATCTTTTGTAAATCTATACGAGTTGAAGCGGGAAAACCATCTTTCTCTTACATTTCACAAATAGCATTCAGTTCCCACGTGTTCTCCGCCATCTGCACACTCACGCGGCAGAGCCGGCCCGGAAAGCCAGCCCAAGCTTTTAACACGCCGCGAAGGAGCTTTGCCTCTCGTCTCCGCCTGAAGAGCCGGTTAGAAGAACGAGAGGCCTCTCCGCCCCCGCATTTGTAAGCCTTCCTAGGGAAAAAAAATAAAAAAGTCCATTCTCCCTTAGACTCAGGATCCCACTCTAATAGACGCGGATCTAAGCACTCGCTCGAGTGCTTTCTAAGCGAAGGTTCCATCTGTCGTCTCTCACACATCCTCTCTTTAGTTAGGACATGCCAGTAAAAGCTAGTAAGGCTGCCATGCCGTTCCCGTGTTTCCCGTCTTTCTCAGTGTGGCGTCCGGTGGCTGACATCTGTGTCCCACGGTGAGCGTCCGCAGATTCAGAGAGCGGGGCCTTCGGTGGGGGACAAAGCTGGGAAGGCTTCGCTAGCACAGTGACCCAGGGGAGAGACCACACGTGGCCTGAGGAGACCGATGCCTCTCCCTGCCACCCCACGTGAGCTCTGTTCTAGGGGGCTTTTCAGGTGAAGGGTGTGGTCCTTACCATGGAGTGAAAGGTCAGACCATCGCATCCCTGGGACAGGATTTATGTTTGTAGAAACATGTGATCGCCGAGGTGAGTAGGGCACGTGGACGAAGGATAACACAGAAATGCGGGGTCCGGAGCCGCACGCCTGGTTTCAGATCACCGTGCCCTTCACTGGGTCGCCTTGGGCTGCTCGCCTAACCTCTCTGAGTCTCCCCTGCTTTCTGCGTAAAACAGGCGAGTGACAGGTAACCTCAGGTTTCTCCTGAGTATTAAATGAGTTAATACATGCACAATTCACAAGTACTAAGCGCTACATCAGTGCTATTATTGTGGTATTTATTATTGTGTATTAAGTGAGGGTTTTCGCTGAGGTCGAAAAAGAAGTGGAGGTGCTCCCTGATTTGGCTTTAAGATCTGGATTTCAGGACGAAGTGAGGCCCCGTCTGATGACCAGGCCCCATCGGACAGACAGGCAGAACGTTCCAGCACAGACAGGCGCCCCGCAGGCTTCCCGCGGGGAAAGGGTGGCCCAGCTTGTTCGGCGGGTTTTCTCCGAGTTCTAGAGAAGGGAGCCTTCAGGCCCCGCGCTGTGCCCTCAGCGCCGGCTCTCACTCTGCGCTCTGTGAATGCGCTCCTCTCCGGGGTTCGGCTCTTTTTTTAGAGCTAGTTGTGAATTCTTTATTCTCGCACATAGACATATGACAGAGGGGGAGCAGGGCGTGTGCACCTCCAAGTTTTAGCAAGAAATCTGTCCTGCCGTCTCCAGAGTGGAAACCCAGCACCGAGAGTCCTCGCTTCATCCCCTCGCAAGCCCCGCCCCGCCGGGCGCTGACTGCGCGGCTCCTCGAGCAGATGGACCACGGTAGCGGGGCGGGCGGGAGTTCGGGCCGCGGGGGCTCGCTGCCCCACACGCACGGCGGCCTTCCCCGACAGGCTGCCTGTAGACTCCTGGAACGGCTCTGTCCGTGTGTACGAGCGGCTGGGAGGACCCGGAATGAACGCCTGTCCAGGGGCACCTTGACCGACGAGTGCCGGCCGTCCCCAGCGCCCGCTCCCCTTGGCCGAGGGCGTTGCGAGGCACGTATTTTGCAGTGTTTGGAGTCTCCCTCTGAGAGTCGAATGCAGTGCCCCACCACGGCAGCTGCCCTAAGGCCCCTCCTCGCCCGCCCACCTTCCTCCCATCTCAGTCCCCCCTCAACCCCCTGGGCTTCCCCTCTCTCCCAGCGAAGCGCTTGGCTCTCGGGCCCTTGGCCCTGGGTCTCTGCCGGGGAGGCCGGCCTGGGACGGCGTGCGTGCTGTACAGCCTGGGTCAGGCTGCGCTGGAGCCGCTGCGCCCCAACTTCACCGGGGCGCGCCGGCAGACCACCCCCCCCCGCCCCGACCCCGGCTGTGCAGCTCCGCCCTCTCAGGGCCCAGCCCGTCCCGGGGCACACCCGCCAGGGCTGAGCCCCTCGGGGACACGGAGAGGACCACGGCGGCCACTCCCGCGTCCGCCTTCCTCCCGCCTTTGCACGGAGCCGGGAGGCGGCGGAGCCGCGGTCAGCTGCCAGCGCGCAGCGCGCTGTGGATGCCGCTTCTGCGGGCCCCAGCAGACGCCCCCCACCACGCCGCCCACCCCTCACAGACCACCAGACGAGGGCTTTGCTAGTCACCACACCCCCGCCCCAGGGGCAAAGGAAACACCCGCGCCCGCAGGCCGCTCTTGCTCACGGGAAGCAAAGGCTGGTCCGCGGGGCCTGTCGCAGCACCCAGCCGGACCTTGGGCCACCCGAGACCGCGGCCACGCGTGTAACCAGGCGGGCCTCCTGAGAGCGCCCTCTTTGCCCCACAAGCCCTCTCAGACTCCTCCCTACGCGCTCTCGTTTTGCTTGGCCACCTTGGTGCAGTCGTGATGCATGGCGCACCCGCTGCCGCCGCGCCGTCTGTGCCCCGTGTGTCCGCATTACGAAGTCACGCAGCCCCTGAGCAGACGCTGCCTTTGATTTCGCCCGAGGGGCGTCCTTTACGCTTTGCTCGTGAGGCAGGCCCCCGAGTGTCTGTTTTCCTGAAACACAACGCAGACAGGCGGGCGAGGAAAGAGCGGACTGTGCGAGGGGCTGGTCCCGGCCCGGGGCGCCCGGGGGAGGGCCGCCTGCTGCTCAGTCACCGGGGAGACTCGGGCCCTCCTGCTCCCACAGCTGCATCGCGGGGCGGCTGCGCGTCCTCCGTGTTTTCCTGGGAATTCGCTGGACTCGGGACCTACCGACAGGCCCGCCAGCAGCGGAACACGCACTACCTCCCATCAGTTTGCTAGTCCTAGTCATTATGTATGTCCTCCATTTTGATTCATGAAAAATTGAAAGGCCGGTAATGAATAGAAAGAACATCATGGATTACAAATGATGGAACAAGGTCGTGCTATTAATTGGTCGATTGTGCTTGTCAGGACATTTAAAGAGACTGAGGCAGAGAGATTAGAAGGGGCACGTATGTGCTTGGGACAGAGAAGCAGGGGCTCTAACGCGTCACGGGCGCCTGGTATCCAGACCAGTGCAGCGCCATCCAGTGGCCCGGGTTCCAGCAAGTCCCTTCGACGAGCCACCCTTGAGAAGCTGCTGTGGGCCGGGGTGGCGCTGAATGTTGGGGGACAGCAGGAAACAGAGTAAACGAAGCCTTCGACCGGGGTCTCACGTTCCCGTGGGGAGGCGGCAGTGTGACGCAGGCAGTGGACCCGCGGGAGGCGGAGCCGTGAAGGCCACGGGGCCAGCGCAGGGCGTGGCCGGCGGGTGGGGGCGAGGGCAGGCCCTCGGGGACGTGGCACTGGAGCAGAGGTTCGAAGGGACGGAGACGCCCAGCCCCCCGGCTGTCTGGGGCAGAATGTCTCCCTCACAGGGCTTGCTCGCCACCCCCGCTCCCGTTGTGACGCTCCGGAAGCCAAGGACAGCCTTGGCATCACCTGTGCTGGCTCGCCCCAGGGGAAGTCTTCCTGGAGCCTGAAAGGTCCCTCCATCAGCCCCTTCCTGTGGCAGCCGCTCTGTGAGCGTGAAAACCGGCGCTGCTGTCGGTCGTTTTCGTGGCCGATACTGGGATTCCCTCCCGCAGCACGTGGGCACCGGCGCTCAGGCCCTGCCTCCCACTTCTCGCAGCTCTCCCCTCGCTCACGAGGCCCGGCACCGCCTTCCCGCCCCGCCCTGCCCCTGCACCTGCGCCCTCGCAGCCCTCAGGCCCCGCCCTCAGGCCCCGCCCCCGCTTCTCGCAGCTCTCCCCTCTCTCACGAGGCCCGGCACCGCCTTCCCGCCCCGCCCTGCCCCTGCACCTGCGCCCTCACAGCCCTCAGGCCCCGCCCCCGCTTCTCGCAGCTCTCCCCTCGCTCACGAGGCCCGGCACCGCCTTCCCGCCCCGCCCTGCCCCTGCCCCTGCCCCTGCGCCCTCGCAGCCCTCAGGCCCCGCCCCCGCTTCTCGCAGCTCTCCCCTCGCTCACGAGGCCCGGCCCAGCCTTCCCGCCCCGCCCTGCCCCTGCCCCTGCGCCCTCGCAGCCCTCAGGCCCCGCCCCCGCTTCTCGCAGCTCTCCCCTCGCTCACGAGGCCCGGCCCAGCCTTCCCGCCCCGCCCTGCCCCTGCACCTGCGCCCTCGCAGCCCTCAGGCCCCGCCTCCCGCTTCTCGCAGCTCTTCCCTTGCTCACGAGGCCCGGCACCGCCTTCCCGCCCCGCCCTGCCCCTGCACCTGCGCCCTCGCAGCCCTCAGGCCCCGCCTCCCGCTTCTCGCAGCTCTCCCCTCGCTCACGAGGCCCAGCCCCGCCTTCCCGCCGCGCAGCTGCCAGCCCCGAGCTGCCTCTGGGTCCCTCGCTACACGGTCCTCCATGTCTGTTTCCATTGTGTCACTTATCGGGGCCTAGGCACATGGGAGCCACCTGCTGGCTTCGCGTGTGGCCTCCATGTGCCCCCGAGGCCACTGCCTCCAGGGCCCGGCGCAGTGGACGAGGCTCGGCAGCCCCGTCAGCGAACCAGCTAAAATAGGGCTCAAAAGTGACAGCTGGGTTTCTGCTTCCGTTTTCAGGCAGCTGAACTCCGGCCTGAAAGCCACATGGAAGAAACGGGCGTCTACTCTGAGCAGACTTCTCTACAGTTTGGGGCAAATGAAAGCGATCAGGTAACGTGGATATTCCTGCTATTTTGCTTCATGTGTCCAGGATCTATTGCTGTGTATTTTTAAATAACTTAATTATTTCTTTTCAATATATTGACCCATTTTTATGGGCTCAATGCGATGTTGCTGTGAGCATTTGCGAGTAATAGAACGAGGGCCGAGAGCGAGCCGCAGCCAGTTAGCGCCGCGGCATCCCGCGTATGGAGCATCAGCGCGAGGCTCCCGGCTGAGCGCCTGGCCTCCAGGAAGCGCACCAGAGGGGGCGCCGCCACGGGAGGGTGCCGGCGTCCTGGGTTCACTCCAGGACTCGACGCGCCGCAGACGGGCAAGCGTCTGCCTGTGCCCGACTGAGTGGCAGGTGCTGGGGTCCCGGGGCGGGGGAGTGTTGCTCCTGCTACGAGGAGGAGCCAACGACAAGCTCCTAGGGTTTCGAGCCGCTTGCTCGCCAGAACCGCCCGGGGTCGCTCTGACTCCCTGTGCCTGGACCCCCGCCCGGGCCTCTGAGTCAGAACCCCCAGCTGCTTAGGAACCAGGGGAGTGTAGGCCCTGCCGCCTCCGCCCCCTCCGCCCTCCAGACCGTAGTTACCGGCACTGGACAGTTGCTCGTAGCCTGGACGGTGTAAAGAAAGCGGCATTTGACAGGTAGAAGGGGCGACCTGAGAGAGCGGAAGGAGGTCAGCAAGGAGGGTCCGGAAGCGAAGGCCTGCCCCTGCAGGTGGCCCGGGGACGCGCTCCGGGGGAAGCCGCAGTTCTCCGCGGGCGGCACCTGGGCCCCCCTGGTGCTTGGAGAACGCGGACGCCGGGCGCGCGGGGACCCCGGGTCCAGGAGAAGGGCCAGCACAGGAAGGGCGGGCCACAGGTGGTGGCACTGGGCCACAGGGCAGCTGACGGGTCAGGATGCGGCGGCGTCTCCGGGCGCAGCTGCACCTCCGGAGGAGACGCCTTCGGGGACCTGGAGGCTGGCCAGCCGGCCTGGGGCTGGGCGGCAGGTGAGTGTCCTCTCGGTCTGTCGCCTTCTTCCCCCCACTCCCCAAATGCTAACAAGTGGCAAATACCATCCATTGTTTATCCTACATGGGTCCAAACAAATGATTTTATTGTTGTTTCATAGAAGGCAGGAACTGGGTACTGTATACTTGGTCAAGTAAAGAACTTCAGTTAAAACACAGTGTCTTTCCTACCGGGCAGATGTGAGAGAAAGGAAAATGTGAGTCCTCAGGGTAACCATCAAAGGGAAGGGCTTAACAGGTCCTCTAAAAATTGTTTTAAAAGGTCAGAATTTCTGATGGGTGGCAAGGGGGTGTGGTTGCCAGGAGAACCAACCATGTGATTGGAGGGTTGGAACTTGCAGTCCCACCCCCAGCCGCCTGGGACAGGCCAGGGGCCGGAGATGGAGTTCATCTCCAGGGGCCAATGATTTAATCAGTCGTGGCTCTGTACCGTGGCCTCCGTGGAACCCTAAAGAAACGGGTTCGGAGCGCTTCTGGGCTGGTGAACGCGTGAGGCTTAGGGCGCTGGCGTGCTCAGAGCATGGAAGCGGCAAGCCCTCCCCCACCTCCCTGCCCCATGTGTCTCTTCCACCCGCTGTCCCCGAGTTACATCCTCTTACAATGCACTGATGGTGTTGTAAGGAACGTGCTTCTCCAAAGTCCATAGGCTTCTAACAAATTAATCCCAAGGAGGAGGTTAGTGGAACCTGTAAGCTATGGCTCATTGTTCAGAGGCACAGGGGACAGCGGAACTTGAGATCGGCACCTGAAGGTGCGGGCGGTCTCGCGGGGCCGGTCCTTGCCCTGCAGAGTCGGCCGCTGCCTCCAGGTAGTGTCAGAGTGGAGTTGTAGGACGCTCACCTGGTGTCACAGAATTGCTTGTGGGCGTGGGGAACCCACAAACGCACACGGGAGTGGGGTGCAGAATTAGAAGGGCTTCTCTCCCTCCCCTTGGCCTCCCCTCCATCCTGGGGGCAGGGTGGTTCCTGACATCCTGTTCTCACACAAAGTCTCCAAAATCAGGGAGGGAGGGACCGGTTGCCCCTCCCGCACCATCCCCCACCCCAGAAGGAAGACATTTCCCAGATCCAGGTTCAGGTGAAGGGTTGGCTGGGTGGCTTCACTTTCCTGTATCTCAGCTTCAAAGAAAGTCAAGGTGCTGGCCACTGTCCAGGGGCCCCTTCAGACCCGTCCTCTGCCCTGCCCCCCACCCATGCCCTTGGGGGCTGATCAGTAGATTTCATCAAGGGCTTCACCCTTCGTCCCCTGTGGGGTTCAGCCTCGGGAGGCACAGGGGGTGGGAGGAAGCAGGGAGAGAAGTACCCCCTTCTCCACCGCACCCCCCACCCCAGTTTGGCTGCATTTCCCCACTGAAGGCCAAGGTCAGGAAGGCACGGCCTTGCGTTGCCTTCTGAGGCCTTGTTTCACCTTTCTGACTTGTGTCTGTAGTCTGGAATTGATTCCCCCGCCTCCCGGCTGCTTTTTATGTTTAAAGTTTTCAAATCTACCAAAAAGTTAAAAAAAATAACTTAATAAACACTCCTATCCTTCTGCTAGATTCCCTGGCAGTTCAGATTCATCACATTTTCTTTATGTCCCTCAATATATTTATACCAATGCAGGCGGGAAGATGCACAGACACACGGCCGCGGAGCTGCGCGGTGCTGGGGTCTGCTGGGCCCCCAAGCCTTGGGGCGCCCTGACGGTCCCCACCCCAACAGCCCAGCGTGCGGCTCCGAAGGACAGACCGTCTCCTGTGTGACACCCAACGTCGACCTTAATGCAATAATACCACTCAACGGGATTGTTTTTTGCTTAAAAAAACCAAAAAGAACTGTCTTGATAACCCTGCCACTCGCTAGTGCTTCGCAGCTGCTGGAGCACTTCCATCCGCATTACTTCACTTCCTTCGCAGTCCCCTGTTGGCATCCCCGCCCTAGAGAACAGGAAAACGCAACTCGGGGAGGCTGACCACCCAGCCCGGCCGCACCGCTGAGGGGAAGCCGACGGGGATTCCGGGGCCGGCCGCCCAGCTCCAAATTCTGCCCTGGCGCCCATGACGTGACAGCCCGTTTGCACAGATGTCAGGTTTCGGAGAACGTATGCCCCCAAACACTTCCCTTAGTTTTTCGTCTCCAACCTTCCCATGGACTGGACGTAACGAGGAGCCCTTTCTCCATCCTCAGATGCTGAGCGTGGAGAAAGGCGCGAGGGAGCGCAGAGCATTTCCTGACCGCACACTGCGCTCGACTCCCGCTCCTCCCCTGGGCACCCAGTAGGGGGCGCCTCCCTCTGCGAGCCTGGGCCGCCTCGGCCTCCGTGGGGAGCCTGGCTTTGTGTGCAGTGAGCGGGGCGCGCGCCCCAGAAGCCCGGCCAGGGTTGCCCCGCAGGTTCTCGGGCTCCGGGACTCGCGGGCTCGTGCGCTCCCGCGACCACCTCTGCCTCTCCTGTCGGTCCCCTTCTCCCCTCGCCACTGTCACCGCACCCGTCAAAGCCCCGTGGCTCTTGCTGGGAAACTGCAGCAGCCCCTCCCCGGTCCAGGACGGCCACTGCCCTCCAGTCCCGGCTCCTCCTCCTCTTCTCTGCCACCGAACGTGGTCGGTGGTGTCCCTGCCCTGGGGACAGGTGCCAGGTTGGTGCTGTGACCTCTGTGACCCCCCGACCTCGCTGCCTCCTCTCCTAGCCTGCCCTCCGCTCGACCCCATGTCCAGGGTCTGGACGATTGCAGCTTCGCCCTGCTCACACAAGCCCGGGTCCCACCCGGCCCCTCGGTCTGCTTTCTCTCTGCCCACCACACCCCAGCCCCGCCCCCAGCTTACACCCTTCTCCTCCTCCAGACTCAGCTCGGGGACCCACGCCGAGCCCCGTGGCGGGGTCCCCGTTCATGCTTGCCGCGTCAGCCGTTCACACGAGGGCCCTGGCGGTTGTGTAACGTCCCCCTTTCGCAGCCCCGAGCACCAGACCTCACCGAGACGTGGCCTGCCCACCTCTCCCGCTGCTGTCTCCTGCCGCTGTCGCCGGCTCCCACCAGCATGCCGGCGCGCGGCAGGTTCTCAGGAAACAGTTGTGGAATAGATGGTACCTGCCTCGTTGGATTCCCCGGACGCGGACCTGGGGGCCAGGCCGAGGAGCCGGGTGGGACCCAGCCCCTGAGGACAGCTCCCACTTGATGCCCCAGGGAGCTTGGGAGTGGGCTTGCCCCACCTGCAGCAGGGAGCCAGCTTCCCTAGCAGCCCGGGGTGGCGCCCAGGCCCCCCTCCTGCAGCAGTTCCAGAAGCCTGGGAGGGGCACCCGCTGACCGAGGAGGCAGGGGCACAGCAAAGCCCGTGGGAGGGCACACAGAGTTCTAACGCCCCGGAGGGCCTGGGTGGGGCTGCAGCGATGCCCGCCATTCAGATGCAGGGACAGGCCCGGTGCGTCCAGATGGTACCGAACACCCGGCAAAGCCAAGCGCCTGCGGGCTGCCGGTGCTTCCACCGTGCCCTCGCTCCGCCAAGGGCCCTTCCCTGCTGCCACGCCCGGAGGCCACCAGGGGCCCAGCTTATTAGAAGGCAAAGAAGTCTTTGCATTCATTTCAACATCATTGTTGCTCTTCATTATTCATCTGGAGGCTCTCTTTGCAAAACGCTGAAAGCCAGATCATAATTTGATGATGAAATATTGATTACACATCGGTATCCGCGTGCAGAGGTCTGACCGTGTAGCTGGAACACCCATCCCGTAGTGTCTCCTGTTTGAAGTCAGTATGAAGATGGATGTGCCCCTCAGGCCACTTTTGATAAAATGCTCACGTCGATATGAAAGGACATTAATGCCGGTGCAAGTCGATCCCCGCTTACTGGTTTGGGGGGCGTCTCTGCCACGCGCCGGCCAGCCCCAGGGGTGCTTCTGAGCCCGGCAGCGCCCAGTCAGCCAGCCGGTGCATTTCCTCATTTGTGTCACGTGAGTGGGGAATGTCAGGGGACATGGGCCGGCGGGGGCTGCCCACACTGGCTCCCGAAGCAAGGAAGGAAC